AACATTTGTCTTATGAATGTGTGACTATGTAATACATACATGCATACATATTGTACAAAATTGGAAACAATATACTCGAACAATATGGGGGGTACCATATGTACAATATTGTACATGGTAAAAAAATTATTATGCCCAATGAAGATTATAGCAATTGTGATGAATACTCTATATATTGTGATGAATACTCTATATATTGTTTTGCAATACTATAAAAGCTACTATGAATACATATATAGCACTTCATCCCATGTTTTTTGAAAATCAAATAACAAATTTAGTCATATCAAATGAGAAGAGAAATACTTCGCCCCATGTTACTTGTTCTAGTTTCCTTTTTAGGTTATCCCCAAAAAGTGTCATATTTCATTTTTTTAAAAAACATGTAGTCTACATCAATTCACTTTATTATATGCAAATCTAAACCACAATTTTTACCTTTTCAATCACTTTATTGATAATTGTGCCAAACCAAAACAGCTCACATAAATGGGAGGGAGATGGTAATAAATTGTGTCTAAGGCGTGAGTTTATTGTACTTTATAAATTTTTATTGTGTCTCATAACATCTCATCTCAAATTAATTCAAATTTATTATAAGCATTGTGAATACAAAGATAAAAATAAGTATGCAGAGGTTCCGGAGTTAACTATTTCTACAATAAGGATGTTCTTACTTGGACCGTAATTTATTGGCCTGACCTGTTTAAGGTTGCGTTTGGGAAACGGCTTATCAGCTAACTTTTGGCTGTTTTGACCAACATCAACTTGTTTGACTATCCAATCAGGCAATATTATCGTTTGGTAATTGGACGCTTCTCTTGGCTGTTTGGGTTGAAAAAGCCGAAAAGAGAAAAGCTACGAAGGGCGGCGTTTAGATTTGGCTGGTCCCCTAAAACTCTTTTATACCCCTTGATTTTCGTAGTTCATTTATGTGCAGCAATTTATCAAAGCCAAAGGTCATTTCCTCTTTTTATTAATGAATGTTCATCGCCTCTATTTCGCAGCTCTTCGTCCTTGGCACCACTTCAACAAATTTCCCGGATCTCTGCTTCTATTAGTTGCTCCCTCAAGTGTAATAAAAAAAAACTACAAAACCGGAAAACAATGAAGAAGAATCTGCCATAGGAAGGAAATGGGTTTATAGGGAACAGGGGTTGAAGTCCCGTTTCTTATGAGTTGCCATCTGAAAGTAAAAAAGGAAGAAACACCAAAAAAAAAATACAAAGGAGGCTAAAGAGGGAGAATCGGGAGAAATTTAAAAGCATAGAACAGTAGAACAAAGACAAGCCTGGGAGGAATAGAGAGAAAAGAAAAGGGAGAAAGGAAAATAACAAATATTCCGTAAGAGATAAAAGAAGAGAAAACTAAAACCCAACTTGTTGATTATTAAAATAGCAACACAAATAATAAATGTCATGTCCTTAGATGTCTTTTTGCATCAATCAGCTATTTACAAACATCTAATTTTACCAAACGTTGATTCATAATAAGCTTACGTGATCAGCTAATCAAAACATCTAATACAAACAGCTATTGACAACCAGCTGACACAACCAGCTAACATCTACCAGCTAACGGCTATTTGCCAAACAAGGCCTAAGTCTGGTTTGGTTTGGTTTGGTCTATTTAAGTCTGATTTGGTCTGGTCTGATCTGGTCTCGTATGCGTCTGATTTATGTGTATTTTATAACTACGGAAGTCAAGTCAGACATGGTCTGTTTAAATCTGGTCTGAGACTGAAAACTGTCCAAATAAAAACATCCCAATGAAACAAATATTATTTTTTACTTTGCTATCAAACAATTACAACTTTCTTCCGAATTTAATAGGGACAATTCTCGGTCGCGCATCGTGTGGGTGAAATCTAGTCAAAATTAACATCACATTTTGCCTCAAAATGAAAATGGTGATGATATTACTTAAGAAGACCTCAAATGTATTTTTTATTCCTAGAGCAACTATGTATGTATTTGGGGTTGCAATATATTATTATAGAAATAATCTTTACAATTACCATATTGAATTTCGCACAAAAATATTATCCAAAAATGGATATTGCTAATATTTTCATTTTTATAAATAATCACTTTAAAAAATACATAGTATATTGTTCTAAAGACTGTTATTAGCAAACAATTAATGCCCAAATAAGTTAACCTATTTTGCAATTTTTAGTTATTTCTTGTTTTAGAATGGAAAGTGCAATCTATACATTTGTTTGAATGTAGTAACAATTAAACTCATTTTTATGTACTAATGGATTGGTGTGGTAGAATTAAATGAATGAAACTTTTACATTTTTTGTAGCTGATAAATAACAATTGTATATTACTAGTACTACCTCGTCCCTAAATGTTGTTCCAATTGCGGATTACGAAGGTTGACCGACGATAAAGTTAAATAATCCCTGTGAAAACTCGGATTATTTTTAGTAAATAAAATTTACATATTCAGAAACTACATTAAACCCGCTACAAAGCCTGCAAAAAATAATTCAACTTTTATAAAATTTTGATATAAAAAGTAAGAGTTTAAGAGTGATTTAAGTTGACCCTCGATAAGCGAAATGGAACTTCTTTTAGGGACGGAGGGAGTACTAACTATCGTTACTTTGGATGTTTTTACTTAGACTTGTAATTTGCTGGTCTGGTCTGTTTAAGCTTGGTCTGGTTTGGTCTGATCTGTATAAGTCTAGTCTGAACTGGTTTGGTTTGGTCAAGTAAATATCTGGTCTCTGTGTATTTTATAACTACGGAAGTTAAGTTTGGCTTGATCTGGTCTGTTTAAGTCAGATTCAGTACGCTTTAAATAAGAACATTTTACTTTTCTAACTTTATTTTAGTATGTTTCTAATTAGTTCTAGATTGTTTGATAGGTATAAGTCCTTACCTTCTAAGGATCTGTTTGCAACAGTTTCTGCTTTTAAAAAAGTGCTTTTATTAATGAAATGGGAGAAGTGATTAAATAAAAGTTGATAGCGTTTGTGAAAAAAGTGATTTTGAAAAGTAAAAGTGGGTAGTGTTTGGTAAAATAAATGTTTTTTGTGTAATAAAAAAATTAAAAACACTTTTGACGCGGAAGCCGAGAAAAATAAAAGTTGTAGTGTTTGAGAAAATAAGTGCTTTTTTAAAGCCAAAAGTTGAGAAGTGCTTTTTTTTTAAAATTAAAGTAGTTGCAAACCAACCCTAACTTTTATATTACTATGTATTAAAAAAGGTTTCTAAAAGTTTATAGTTATATGTTTTGCCAAATTAGTTCTAGCATTTTACCCAACGAATTGCAAGATACTTGTGAAAATTTTTGGTTTTTTAAAAAAATTAAATTGAGTGGTTTTTGAGAGAAACTGAATTCAATCGTATGATTTTATCAAAAAACTATAACTTATATAAAATCATTCGGGTTACTAAAAGCTACATAGTAATAGTGACAAAACTTCCAAAAAAAAGTAATAGTGACAAAAAATACAGAAAATACTTTTTAGCTAGATGTGTCAATCATATTATTTTTTACAAAGTTAAATGAATTTATATATGAATAATATGGTCAATAAATTAATTTGATATTAACAAAGTAAATCAACATTTAAGTATATTAGATTGCTTTTAACTAGCTTTCAAGCCCGTGCGATGCACGAGCATATGTAATCTAGCTAATTTGAAATTTGATTTCTTTCAGATCATATGTAATGTGATATAAAAGAAAAATAAACTTAGTCTAATATAGAGTCCGTTTGATAATACTAAAATAAATTGAATTAACTTATTTTACTCAAATTGATTAAATTATGAGTGAATGAGCTAAATGAGTGGAATCATGAAAAAATATGTAAAATATATTCCATTTGTGAAGCCAGAAAAAGATTATATGAAAAATAGTTAAATTGTCTTCTACAAAAGCATCTCGAGTAAATATAATTTCTATGAACCCGATTTTAAACGTTTAATATAATCTTATGAAGATGGATATTCATAGAAATTTAATACGGAGTATATATTAAGTAGAATAGTCTAAATATAGAGCTTGTTTTTTTAAATTGTAAGCCTAAACGTATAAACGTATACTATAACATTTAATTGTTATAATGGAATTAAAACGTATAATTCTAACACATAATTCTAAGCCTAAACGTATACTATAACATTTAATTGTTATAGAAATTAAAACGTATTATATTTTTGGCTAAGAATACCTGTCATATATAAACTTAGCCTAAAATAGAGCCTGTTTAATATAGTACTTTCTACGGATTTTTGTTTCCATATCAATATGCAATCAAAAATAGAATCTAGCTAATAAAAATAGAAGGTACAAATTAACTAAATAATTAATATATATAATGACATGACAGGATTATGTGACGCTTTGTATGCACTTAAAAAGTTTCTCATATATATATATATATATATATATTGATTGGATTGATTTTTTTGTGTGATTTAATATGTTATTGTCTAAATGAGTAAGAGAGATGTTTGATATATGTGTATTTTACAATTGGGAAAACTATCAAATAAGCCCCTGTACTATGCCGAAAAAGTCGATTAGACCTTCGTACTTTACAAACACTCAATTAAGTCCTCGAACTATTAAAAAACGTTCAATTAAGCCCTTTCGGTCAGTAAGTAACCAGTTTCCCGGTTAAATGTAACCCGTTTCCCGACAGCCGCCGTTGCTGGGATTCGAGCACATCGTCGCCGTTTAACTGGGAAACCAGTTACTTACTAACCAAAAGAGCTTAATTGAACGTTTTGTAATAGTTCGAGGACTTAATTGAGTGTTGTAAAGTACGAGGGTCTAATCGACTTTTTCGGCATAGTACGAGGGTTTATTTGATAGTTTTCCCTTTACAATTTTATAATTATTGAAGCCTAGTCTAGTCTAATTTGTTTAAATTTAGGGGGGTGTATTCATTTTAGACATTTTAAGACATTTTTAGATTATAGGATTTGAGTAGACATTTGAGACTTTTACGATTTTGGCTGGATTTTGTGGATTTAGACATAGGACATTTTGAGACATTACAAAACCTTTTCCAGTCGCCCCAAAATTCAAAAAGCACCAAAATTCATCTTCTTCAATTTGCTTGGAGTTCAGCAAGACCACGAGGCAAACGGCCAGTCTTCTTCAAAGACAAATTCTCATCTTCTTCTGCACCAACTACCAGCCCCGCAACCCTCCCACCCACCACCAGCAAGACGACACGCCAACGATCAAAATCACTCGTGCTTCTGCGTCACCTACCAGTCCCGCAACCGTGCAAACCACCACCAGGTATTGTGCGCCGTCTAGTGTGACTGGCCGACTCGCCATCCTTCGGCCGCACCTGCCACATCTTTTTGTGGGATTCCAAATCTCACCCAAATCTCACGTAAGGGGATGAGATTTGGGATATGGATTTTTTGCCTATATTTGAGCTTAGATGTCCGGATAAGTCCCAAGCATAAATGAAATCCATGTTTTCAATCTCAAATGAATACACCTAAACATTTTGGGATTTCTAAAATGTCTTAGAATGTCTTGTTTAAATACACCCAGATTTCTTAAATCCTAAAATGTCTTAGAATGTCTAAAATGAATACACCCACTTAATTTGTTTAAGTTTGATTTAATCAAATTTTGTTCATTTAATTGAAATTATTTCAAGTAAAACTTATAAGAGAAAGCACCCAGAAACATAATCAAATTACTAAGTTTGAATATTAATGAGTATGCCATATCTCATTGGTTAAATAGGGTTAAATTTTCCTTTCAAAATAGGGTTAAATTTGATTGCAATTTAAGAAGAAGCTGAGCCTATCAAATCGCAGCTTCTCGTGTTTTACTTCTGATGTACTTCTTCTATGGGCAATCATTCTTCTAGACTCACAATTTCGCAATGAGGTTATTGCTTCATTGATCACAGTCAGACATTCAACCTCAGCCTGAAGAATACCGAGCAAAAGACCACTCTTGTTAAAAGTTCATTCTTTCTCATTATCATCTTCTTCCATTCACCAACTCTCTGCCTCCTCAATGATTCACCGTTTTGCTTAACCGGTACAGCCGACGTTTCCCATGGCGCTCCCGCTGGGCAAGGTGGCTTTCCTCTTCGGTACCGGTCAGTACACATCCTTGCCCCGGCCAATGCATGCTTATAGGCATATCCCGCTCAATTTGCATCCTATGTGACCATGTGCGTGCATGTGTTTCGGTGTTAAAAATGTTTGAGATGATCTTCTTTTTATTCTCCAGTGAATTTCTGGCTTTGATATCAGTACCAATTAAATCACGGGCTTGGGTCGTTGGTTTTTCTTCCCACGTGCACTTAGCATCTGTAGTGTGCCAAAAATGGCAACCATTTGCCCTTTTCTATGCTGTATTTTACCAGTGGTTCTAGTTTTAAATTACTACGAAGTACTATACATGAATGTTAACTAATTTAAGCCAGTAAGCGGCTTAAAGCTGGATTTTTTATAGAGATTTTGATTGAATGGTCGATATGTATCTCTTGACACAGTCCTTGCCATATGGCTTTCTCTATATACCACAATTTACCAACATTTGCCTAAGAAGGCCAATTTGTGAGGCATATCACTTTCCTCCAAAAGTTGTCATGTTGTGCAAAAAAACATCTGTTGAAACAACAGAGCATATTGGCTGCATTTTCTAAAGTGATACTCCCTCCCTCCCCAAATGATTGTCTTGTTTGATTTAGCACAAGTTTTAAGAAAGTGTTTGAAAAGGTAAAAGTCATGATTGAGATTTGAGTAGAAAAAGGTGAATTGATATGAGACACATATTATTGCCAAAAGAGGAAACAATACAATTATTTTGGGACATCCCAAAAAGGAAAACAAGACAATTATTTGGGGACAGAGGCAGTACTTTTAGCCCAATAGTGTTACATACGAGCCTAAAAGGGACAAGTCTCACAGGAGTGAGCTGTCAGCTGTGTGACACCTTTTCTAAAGAGCAAGCTCTATGAGAATGTTTCAAGCAAGTGCTTCTATCTATAATCTACGTATTATGTGCAATTACTAATGAACTAGCTTTATATATTGAAAATAACTAAAAATACAGAATAAAATAATGTTCAGATCACAATTTGCATGCTCATGCATGAACCTTCTTAAGTCTGTTTTAAATATTTAGTTTTTCTTGATGGGAGGGGTTTACTTGTAGAAAGAATTGACTGTTACTAGAATATATATTTTATGAGAAATGCATCTATTTACCATTACCACGCCAAAGCCCGGATCAATTGACATTCTGCATTTTAAAGGTGTTGTTGTGTCAGCTCTGGCCAAAGAATCAAGTTTCAGTGACTATTTGTCAGGCGCATTTAAGGTATGGTTTAGTAATTCAGCTTTAAATCTTTAAGGCTATTTTAATGGCCTCTTTTCTGTTTATATATTTACCATGACCATTAAATTTGGCGTAGCAGCTCACTACTTCATTCTTTTGTTGCAGATATTCTTCAAGCAAATCAAGGAAGATAGTTCAAAAAACTCAAATCATAAGCCTCGTAATGATGCTTTGTTGCTGCAGGTTTGCAATATGTTTTTGTGTTGTCTTTTAGATTATTTCCTTAGTTTGTTATTGCATGTTTCACTAGCATCTTTGAAACTAAAGTTTTATATTCTTTGTTGGATTATGTAGAGCATGATCTCATAAGTTGCACCATTTTGTCTTGAAGTATTAGATGTAAAGCTATGTGATGTGCTGCTTTATTTTGCATTATATCATCACAAACTCACATCAAAACACAGAAAGGGCAATTTGCAATTTTCATCTCTTCGCCGTGGAGCTGTGGTGCACATGTCGAACCGGGTCCTAATGTTCTTTAACAAGGAATTTATCCTCATCACTGCTCAACATATTTTGGGTCCACTGGATTATTGAAAAGGGGAAAAAACTGGCCAATATATCCGTTTAAAGACTAGGTTCTGTAATTTTACTATGCTACCAATTGTCGAGAAGTTTTTGAGGCGCACATATCCACTTCCACTTTTCTTTGTGACAGAGAAGCATTTATCTTAACTAAGAGAGGCTTACTAATATTCTTCAAATATTGGTATGTTTTTTTCCCAGCAAAACAAGACTGACTCCTGATTAAAGATTTCTGCATCTTTTGGGTATACTGAAAGTAAAATGGCTAAATTTTATTTTTCCGAAGCTCGTTTTAACTTATTAAACATGTTGTGGCACCATTTCATTAATACCGCACAAATTCTAGGACACCATTTGCTTCACGTTATGATATAGAGCAGGAGCCTGGCATGGAAAAAGAGAGGCCGAGGTCCCTAGTTGGGCCTGTTATTAGTAGAGTATTTCAATACCTAATTAGGGTTTACTTAATTTGGGTTCAATTAGGATTTCTGTTTTGGGTCTGTTATTAGAAGGGTATTTAAACCCCTAATTAGGGTTCAGTCTTGTTTATCAGTTAATAAAATTGGATCTCAGCCAATTGCCTCTGGGCAACGGTTTCTACCGTTGATTATTACTTTTCTGTTCTCATCATATTCATGTTAGGGATTGATTATGCCATTACGGTAGGGATAAAATGTAATTATCTCGGACAAATATCATCTGTCTTGATTTGTTGTTATGAACTTTTGTCAATGGCTGAAGCTCATGGTGACAAGTGGATGATTCATATAGTAAAGCTGTAAAGCAAGAATGATTAAAAAGAGAAGTTGACTTATGATTTATCATTTCATGTGTATGACTATTTTGTATGAGAATAAGCTATGTATTGAAGCAACTTTACTGACTGGTTAATCTTTTGAACTTCCAACGTTCTGCTAGGAACATTTACCAATATTTTCTTTAAGCTTGTGAAGGTTATTTCTAGTATTTGAATTTATATTTACCTTTTCAGGTCAATAGCTTGCAAGAGCAGCTGCAGCTCCTGGCATCAAATAGATCTGTAACTGTGGTGACTTCTTATGGTTCAGGTATGTCCAAGTTATCTACGTAACAAAGCAATTGGGTCTCATGCACCTGTTTTGCATTTCTGAGTTTTGACCTGACCTAAAAATTTAGTTTTGGCGTGTCTATTTTTTACTTTGCTGATTACCTTCCTTCAACTCTCAAAGAATCTACCGAGTCTTGACTCTTGAAGGTTGGTTGCACTCATACTTCCTCTGTTCCCGAATTCGTTGATTTTTAAAAAGTCTCCAGAGCTCTAGAAAAGTGAACCTTCACATGATTCTAATTTCTAATGCACATGCATTAATTAATTTTTTAATCCTGAAGATTACACCTGGAAAAGCTAATCAATAATCTGGTTTTTGATAAACTATAAATATTTTGGAACAAACATTTTTCTCTCAAGCATTATTACTGTGGAGTTAGCGGTGCTCACAATCAACTTGTGCAAGAAAAATAGCCTTAATTTTTTTTGTGGTCCCGCTGCTGTGTATTTATAATGGCATCACTTTCACTTTGTGCTCAGGGACAAGCTTCCACACCCAATAATAGAATTACAGGAGCATTCCTTTTGTGTTTGGAGATCTTACACCTAAATTGTTTTACTTGACACTTTGATTTTTTTAGGTTCTAGTGGTAAATATGGCTTGATTTTGGTGGTTGTGGTGGTTGGATACGGATATATTTGGTGGAAGGTAATCTCTTCTAGATTATTATTTACTCCATATATTTTTTCCTTGTGACTACACTTTATTAGCGGTAATATACATTGTTATCAATTTAACTTTTCAAATGATAATTCATTTTTCTTTGATGATTAATGAGCCATATGTATATCACATGTGGCATGCCACTTAAGGATATACATTTGATTTGTTCCCTCTTCATATTTACCATGAATGGAGTTGTTAAGGTCATAATTCACTGACCTTCGTTTTTCATTGGTGGGAAGTTATCATGCCTTCATTTGCTTGTTCCCTTATGTTTATTCTAAAATCAGCCAATCACAATATGTGAGTATTATATATACTACTTACGTATGGATAGGGTTTCCAGATGCTTGCTATTTTAATAGTAGTGCATAGTTTGGGTTAGTTCTTAAGCTTTACTTCTAAGTTCTAACAAGACTAACAAGACTATTTTATCCATACTTACGTATGGATAGGGTTTCCAGATGCTTGCTATTTTAATAGTAGTACATAGTTTAGGTTAGTTCTTAAGCTTTACAAACTAACAAGACTAATCACTTTCAATAATTCCTTGCGTAAAAAACCGAATATCCAATTGCGCTAATTGATTAGTTGGAGAAATGGAGTTAAAACTCTGTTTAGACTTTAGATGATATTTTAGGATTCTTCATAGCTTCATTTGGGTTTTGATTTTGTCAAGTATATGTATTAGTAATATCCTGAAATATTCAGCATACATGTGGATATTTTCTCAAAGTTGGTATAACCATGTTTCTTGTAGAATTGAACTGACAAGAGTATGAGTCCTATCGAAGTTGTTTTTTGGATAGATCCGCAAATGTCCAATTATCCATGACTGACAAGTGTAACAAAATTTTAAAATTGATTTTTATTCTTTTTGTACATGAATGCCATCCCCTTACCGCACCTTAGGTGGGAGCCTTTGCGGCACCGGGCCACTGGGTTAATGTTGTTGTTGTTGTACATGAATGCCATGGCATACCTTCAATCAAAACTCAAAGCTATTCAAATATCATGAGTTGGTTTCTTTGGAAAAGATGATATTCCCTTTTGCTTTGGAATTTGAAACCTCAAGGACCTCATCTCGGTATAAATGATTTATTACTACAGTCTACAAGGACCTCATTTTGGTAAAAGTAACCTCATTTTTAATTACTTCTAGGACCTCATTAAGTCATTAGTTGCTTTTGCTTTTTGCATTTACAACAAACAAATTTAAATGATTATGCAGTAGTTAGTTTATTACTCCCTCAGTATTCTATTGTTTGCTGCAATAGAGTTTGGCACAATATTTATGGGAAAAGTAGTATGGGTAATGAATAGTAGTGTAGAAAAGTAGGAGAGAGGGTGAAAAAGTATGAAAAAGAAAATGAAAAGTAGAAAAAGTAAGGGTAATTGAGTATTTTAAAGGGAAAACATACCAAAAAGGGAAAATGTAGCAAAAATTAAAATACATCCCAAAAAGGAAAGTGTAGCAAACAAAAGAATACGGAGGAAGTATGTATCAATGTAGACCTAGTTGTTTAATCATATTAACAACCTAGACTACCTAGTTAAAAACTTAAAATGGTATAGTGTATTTTTCCGTTTTGTGGATTATATTTTTCATATTAACATTCAAGTTTTTGATAAAAACCTGTCACTTATACAGTATCGATAAGTTGATATTGCTATATCATTTGATATTTCCATGAAATGAAGGTACTCATGATACTGATAGGTTTAACATTCATTAAAATTGATTCATATTCTGAAATCTCAAACTCCAATTTCTAATTTCCTACTTTTTCCATTTTGAGATTTGTTTTCCTGTTAAGGGTTTTCTTAAAAAGCTGTGCTGAACATAATTGAAATCTGCAGGGTTGGAAGCTTTCTGATTTCATGTTTGCAACCCGGCGTGGTTTAGCTGATGCATGTACGAGTGTGTCCAAACAACTTGAGAGTGTTAATGAATCCGTTTCGGCAAGTTTTTCCTATTTGTACTGCCATTTCTTATGCACAAACACATGCTTACATTTGGGTATATTTATTTTTGCATATACGAAATTTAATACGTAGTAGTTTTGATAAACTATAATGAGAAAGAGAAGGAGTTGAGGGACTTATGTCCTTACCTCTTTAATTGTGAGCTATCAAGAACTTGCCTGTGTGGCTATGTCACTACGAGCAAGTTTTCAAAGATCTTTCCTTGACAGAAGTTTGGAGCAACACTCCAGCTTTTCTTATTTGAATGCGATTCTTTACTTCTAGTTTTGAGAGCTTACACAATTTTATGAGCTATTAGATATTTTTATTGTTTACTCCAATGAAGGGGTTATCTTTATGAGTTTATCTATTAGATTTTCTAGTTATCTTCTTTCGCTCCGATTTCATTTGTCAATTCATGTTAGCCGACCCCAAACTCTTTCGGGACTAAGGCTTGAGGGCTGTTTGGTTGTTCTACTCTACTGAAGGGTTCTTATGTTTCCCAGGCAACAAGACATCACATATCTTCCCGCATTGACCGTATTGATTGTAAAGTAGATGAGTGCACAGAAGACACAGCTGCTATACAAGAGGAGGTGGGGTGGGATCTACAAAATTTTACTAGTTTACTTGTTTCATATTAAAGGTTTCTGTCAACTTAAGAACTTTAACCTGTAACACAGGTTTCTGAAATTCTAGGGAAGGTGAAAACGGTTGACAGTAATCTCCAATCAGTTCAGCTTGTTTTCCAAACTCTGGTAAGCAACTTTTTTGTCTTGTTGTAGCTCTCATGTGTTGCGCTGAATTTTATTAAAACATTTCTGTTTGGTGACGGGAATGTGAACTATTGGAAATATTCTGTGGCACAGGAGACCAAAATCAGCAGGATAGAATGGATGCAGGTATATCATGTGAATGGATTGATGAATTTCACTACTATTGGTGCATTTTTTTTGCCTAATAGTAATTGTGCTGTGTTGATGTTTGTAGAATGACACAATTTTTGGCGTGAGAGATTTGGTTACTTATGCAAAGAAGTTGGAGAATGAAAGAGACAAGGAACAGATTGAGGCATGATAATATTTTCTTCATTACTAATTTAAGGATATATATCTACATGTGTGTGTACAGGTTTGGTTCCAATAAAAAGTGGTGTTCCGCTTAAAAGTTGCACTATTTGATTCACACGATTTTCGCTTTGCGTTATTGCTCATACACGGTGCACTATTGCATTCAGGAAGTGCACTTTTTGCAATGAATAAAACCTTTTATTTATGAAATGACAATGCATTGTTATCCAACTTAATGCATTTTTGCATATTTATAGCCATTATATGATCACAAATCTGATACGCCAATACACACACACACATTACTTAGATAGAGGGCAGATCAGGTATAAACAATGCCTATTGTGCAAATACTTGTACGGTTCATCTTTACACTATTTGTATTGCATATTCACGTTCAAAGTATTGCATATTATTCTGCAATGAAATACGATTTAAGTGCTGCATCTAAAAAACTTGGTTTTATTGCCAAAATGTCATCGTGCATCTACAACCTTTAGATCAACCCATCGAATGACCAAGATGAGTTTGTAGTTTGTAAATTAGGAGGTGTTTGTATTTGATCCCTTATCTACATGGATATATACATATAAGAGGAATGCTTTGGTCAGTCCTGACTGACGGGAACCGCCGTCCGTCCAAGCCCGTTTGAGGGCCTTTCGGGTCAAACTTTTTCATAAATTTTTGTGAGCATGTTCTTCATGAAGTTTAGAACATTCACACAAAATTTCAGTTTATAATTCGAATCGGAAAATTAGTTAAATAAAATAGTTAACTGAATTTCCCATGGAATTTTAAGCTGTATTTCATGAAGAACATGCTCGCAAAATTTGATCAAAAAATTGAACCCGAAAGGCCCTTAAACGGGCTTGGCCGGACGGCGGTTCTGGTCAGGCATGCCTGACCGATCTTTACTTATATATATAATACTTTCATTCTGAGTCATAACATGCTTTTATTCTACAGGCATCTTCCCCGAGTTTAACAAGGCCTGCTCTTGAATTGCCAGAGGTGACTCCTTCAACCATGGTGATTTTTGAACCATCTTCATTGATTTTAACAAGTATCAACCTGTTGTGTAAAAATACCTCATCTTTTATAAAAAGGAACTCTTCCGGTGTAAAGTTTTTCCTGTGCAATCAAAATGGGGTTGGGGTGGGCAGTGTTCATACTTATAGGGTATGTTTGTAAGGTTCACGGGCTATTGTTATTTTTAGATTACAATAATTTTACTAATATGACCATTTAATATTTCGACGCGATTTTCACCACGAGTCATCCGGAAACGGTCTCTCCTTGCTTTAGTACAAGGGTAAGGCCGTGTAAATCCGGCCTCCCCTTACCCCACCGTATGTGGGAGCTTTTGCGGCACTAAGGATGTTTTTACTTGGACTGAAATTTGCTGGTCTGGTCTAGTAAACATCTGGTCTTTGTGTATTGTATTTATTACTATCCAAGTCTAGTCTGGTATGGGACTGAAGTCCAAGTAAAACATCCTAAGGTAATGATGATGAATATCTCTTGGTGGAAAATTATCAAGTTAAAGCAGTATTTCCAGAAATGAAAAGTAACCCGTCCCATCCCTTCTCTTAAACCCTCCATCCAATCAGGCCTTAATGAATTCATGACCTTTCAGTGAGTCGCTTCCTCAAGTGGTTCTCTCAAAAAATTGTCTAAACTCTAAATACTTTTAGAGAACTATCTTAAACTTTTGGTTGCTACTTATCTGGAAACCCTTCTCTATATAGAGTCTAGGTACTCATTGCTATTATTGACTTCAATATATTTTTCATTTTCGTCGCAGGCATGTCCCTTGCTTCCTAATGCAAATATTGAACCACCATCTCCATCTGTTTCAAATGGACTCCAGAAGGTTGGTAAATAGGCTTAATCCATTGATCAATTTCAAATTCACTTTCACAATTTATGTCGTCCATTTTTAGACATTAAAAAGTGCAAAAGAAATCTTGAACCCTTTAAATCAATTTTTTTTGCATTAAATCTGTTTCCCGAAATAACTGTTTTAAGTTACAGGAGTCCCTGCTTGCTGTTCTTTCTTCCTCAGGTGTTAAGGTAGGGAGAGATAATACCCAAAAGTTGTCCATTTCTTGTGAGTTCAGTCTTTTAACAATTAGGTTTCTTTTATAGATACATCGTGGATTATTAGATTTGGAAGCAATGAAAACTGGAAGCAGTGGTACTCCTTCTCGGGCTACAAGTGCACCGCCCACACCATTGTGTTTCAACACTCGAAATTCAACTTCTGCCCTGTTTGGGCGAACACTGTCTGCTAGCGCCGCCGACTTTTTGACAAGCCGCAGATCATGCCAAACTTTAAAGTAGGCCTCCAAGTTGGATATAAATCTTTTATTCCATGTGGAGCATTTTTTGTTCATTGAGCTGAATTTTTTAGTGCGCAAATATGGTATTCATTCAAGGCTTAGTTTAGAAGTCCTGTCTAAATATTTTTAGCTACTCATTGGGTAGATATTGCCCTTACCCCACCAAGGTGTGGGAGCGTTTGCAACACTGAGGTAGTGATGATGATGAAGATTGGGTAGATACTAGATTGCACAGAAGTAATGCAACAAATGGTTGAAAATGACCAACTCCAACATCTTAAAGAAGTGCTGGCTCTTCTTTATAATAAATCCCAAAACATGGAATTTGCTTTCATTGAGATTTCGATTTGCAGCGAAAATAGCTTGTTTCGAGCCTGTTTAGTGACACTAGTGGTGGACTCGGGCCGGGCGGCCCGGCCCGGAACCGGCCCGGCCCGGTTACTGTTTGGCCCGGCCCGGTGGGTCCACCGGTTCGGTTCGGTTCGGCCCGGCTGTTGGGCGGTTCGGGCTCGGGCCCTGTTTTTGGTGAACCGGCCCGGCCGGTTCGGGCCGGTTTTTAATTTTTTTTTGAATTTGTTTTGAATTTTTTTTAAATTTTGGGTTGGATTAGGTATTTTGGGCCATTTGAGGTGGTTTGGGGTGGTTTGGGGTTGAGGGGGAGGGGTTGGGGGTTAAATAGAAGAGCCAAAAAAAAAAATTATAACCGGTTAGGCCCGGTTTGGCCCGGAACCGGAACCGCCCACCGGCGGTTCGGGCTCGGGCCCAACTTTCCAGGCCCGAGGCCCGGCCGGGCCCAGGCCCGAACCGGGCCCGAACCGGCCCGAGTCCAGCACTAAGTGACACTGTTTTTCGGCTTATCAGGCTTATCAGCCAACTTTTTAACCAAACGCGTAACTTTTGTTTTGCGCGCTAAAATGTGTAATAATAGGAAAAAGCAAGGTTGAAATTACTTTTCTAGCTGTATTGGATGAAGTTAACTGTATATGATCGTCTTAGCTATTTTTCATATAAAATTTTCTTCAACTTAATTAATAAAATATATTTTAAATATAATTTTTTCATAAATCAGTAGAATCAACCAATACAGCCACTTTAGGTAGAACTTTATAAATTGCGGCATAATAAGTCGATTCCAGTTTTACCAAATAGCATCATTAAACATCTATTCTACTTTTTTTACATCATTGAATGACATTTAAATTTAATTAAATATAGCTTCATTGTACTCATTGGGATATATTTAATTTGAATTTGATTTATTTGGGTCTTATCTAGTAAATGTTTGATCTATGTGTATTTTAAAGTTGGTCTTATCTGGTCGGTGACTGAAATAAATCCAATTAAAAATATCTTTAGAAATTAATTTTTGACTAAGGATTGAGGCAGATTCATGAGGAATTTAGACTTTGTTGGGCTTATAAGATTATACTAGATTTAAGCAATTGTTGGGTGGGTACTTGGGGCGGGAAAATGGAAAAGTGAAAAGTTTACATTAAAAAATTACTGTAAAAGATGGAGAAACCCAAAAGTTTACTTGGCAATAGTTTTCTCTCCCCACTTGCGGAGAATAGGCATGGACCGGGCATTTTGGGAGATAGTTGAGGCCCGGAACCGGCCCGGTTATCCACCGGGTCTGGGCCGGTCCCTATTTTTTTTTTTTTTGCTTTTCTAATTAACCCCTGACCCCCCCTCACCCACACCCCCAAAACCATCCCAAAACACCCAGCCCAACCCGGGAAAATAAAAATTTAAAAAGAAAAAAATAAATAAAAAAGTCCGAACCGGGCCTGGCCGGGCCGGTTTCTAATTTGGGTGACCCGAGCTCGCCCAATGTAACCCCCGGACCAGGCCTACCCGAACCGGTCTCTGGCGGGCCACCGGGCCGGTTCCAAACGGTGCCGGGCCAGGCCAGCGGCCCGGAACCGGTCCATCACTACCGGAGAATATAGAAGATGGAGAAAACGGGCCTTTTGTTTGGATTTTTATCACTTGGCGCAATAGATTTTCATGATCACTGACGCAGTCACACGACTCACACAGGTGGCATATTGCTTTTTATTTCTTCTATTAGCACTTCTAGATTTCCAGTTCATTAGCTTTTTCCATTTCTTTAAATTTCTTGCTTTATTAGAGTTTGTACACTTAAATAATCTTAATAAAGTTCGGTGGTTCAAAAAAAAAAAAAAGCGAGGTGGGCTATAGTTTTAGTGTACATCTATCTGTGCGTATACCGTGCAACCGTCCCACCATGAGCATCATGCTCCCAACTCCCAAAACGATCTAGTTTTGGACAATTTAAAAAAAAATTCGTGTGAACAGTTCACACGATGATGTGACTCACGTGTAAAGATATGTAATTTGTCAAATATTGATTACAAATAGGGGCGGATAATAGTTAGGGCAGGGGTGGGCTTCAACCAGCCCATTTTTTTTGGTTTTAATTAGTATAGGTATAAAATTTAAGTCCAGCTGAATCGTACGAGGAAATCGACCCTGAGCCGGCTGAATGGTGTTCGGATTCCCATCCACTCTACAACCTTCACATGTTAGTCAAAGTCTTGCGTTTTAGTAATATATTACGTACCAATTGAGCTCCAATATACTATCATGTTTATTATCTATCAACTAATTAGTTAACTAAACAATTAATAATAACAAAATAATGCACACGCTTGGCTGATATTATACTTCCCATTCACATATATTATATGTGATGAAAATATATTTCTATTGCATCTTTAAGATTTTGCCATTGATTTCATGTCTATATTTATTGTCCATCTATATCAAAATCTATTTTAAATTTTGTTAAAACCATCTTTACATAATACTTTTTAATTGGATTATATTGTACCATCATTATTAAATTATGAAAGAATAACGTTTTCTATCTATGAATTTAATATGAGATTTAAAAAAAAATTATTAAAATAAAACTTATTTACACAGATATGACAAATCGTTAATTCAATCTAGTGTAATGGTAATTTAAATTTAACACGTGAACATAGTTTATTTTTATTCTACTACTATCTAGTCACTAATCACGTTTTTATAAAGAATCTTATTTTGGCCATAAATATGTAATTATTTTATTTAATATTACATATGTATACACATATGTATGTATGTATGTATGTATGTATGTATGTATGTATGTATGTATGTATGTATGTATGTATGTATGTATGTATGTATGTATGTATGTATGTATGTATGTATGTATGTATGTATGTATGTATGTATGTATGTATGTATGTGTTAATACATTTGAATACTTGAGTAACACAGAGGGTTTAAAGCAATTGTATCGCTGTGTCTTAGTTTTGTTATTTTCAGTTTTGTAAATCAATTTGATTATTGATTGAATTTTGCAGTATATAATAAAATAGTGTTTATTAAATTTATAATGATTAAAGATAGAGTTAAATATTAGGGAATGATTTATTTATTACACAATTGATGATTCAAAAGTGATTTATTTCATGTGTGGACATGCAAGAAAGAATTAAAAAGTTTAATTAAATTTTGAAATACTAAAATCTTTAATTAATAAATTTATAAAATCTTACTAAAACGTTTAAATTTTAGAAGTATATAATTTTTTATGCTAGAGCCTGGATCGAACCGAACATTTTCTAAGCTCGAACTCGGCTTGAATAACTATTCAAACTCAAAATCTAGCATGTTTTCGAGTTCGAAGCTCGTTAAACTCAGATGGTTAAATTACATTCAAAATCACGTTTGAAATCGAGTGGTTCGAAAACATCTTGTGTGTAGTAACAATCCTAAACTAAACCTTTTGTGTGTAGAAACAATTTTTTTACTGCTTAGCCCACCCCACCCCTCATTTCTTGATCCGCCCCCTGATTACAACGTAAACAATGAAAAAAGATAGTCTAATTGCACAATTGCTTTAGGTAAAACGTGAATATGTTTTTTTTAATATCATGACCATAAAAAATAATTTTTTAGAAAAAATCATTTTTTGTTTCAATAGTAGGGGTGGGTTTTTTAACGTAACTCGTGTTTTTACAAATGTAAATCGCTTTGATGGCAAATGTAACTTGGGCATATACAGAACGTAACTTGTTGGAAAATTGAACAATGATTTTTTGTTTGTTTGAGATATTATAAAAATTGATTTCAATGTAAACAATGAAAAATTGATCCTAATAGCTCAATTACTTTTTTTTTTTATAAATAGTGAATATGTTTTATTTTTAATATTAGGGCAATAGAAATGATATAGCTGAAGTTTTTTCGTGGTGTAACTCGCATACATTAAGATGTAGCTCGCGTATATTAAGATGTAACTCGCGTACACTAAGATGGAACATTTCAAAATCCCTATTTTTTTCACCATCTCAATTTCATCTTCATCAATGGTCTCTGCATCAACACGTTTCTGCATCCTTGGCTATTCCATCAACAAAATCTGAAACACCCATCTACCTGACTTGATTCCCATCTCTATCCCTTTTACCCCCATCCTTGTGGGCTTGTGGCGTTGTCTAGGAGGACTGTTGTGGTGGCGATTCCTGTTGTTGCGGTGGTGACGATCATGGGAGCGTGAATTAGAAGTAGAAGAATGACGGAAATGATGGCGGTCAATGACGGAAAAGAAGGGATGAAACTGTAGAACCTTCGTTGTTTATGGCCACTGCTCTGTACATTTAGTTTGCATCTAATTTTTTAAAATAAGCAAAACGGTACCATATTTGGACCGCATACCATGTGCATGGTATGTCTGTCATACGGTATAATTTGTGTACATCTATCCCCTACTATCAGCGGAAATCATATGAGCGAAAAAAAATCTTTTTTTTAAGAGAAGCGAAAAAAATTCTTAAAATGACTTTTGGGATGTACTGGAGCAAAAATGGTAAGGAGATGTTTTGTGGCATATTAATAACCATCCATTTTTCAATGGAGTTTCATATATAAATAAAGTATAACTTCTGTCTCTTTTTATTTAATGATTTTTTACTTTTTCAATTAAAGATGAAAAATCCTGACCAATTATTTTAATCAATACATTTATATAAATTTAATAATTTTATAAGGTAACATTTTTTACAAATAATATTTTCATATTATGAAAATTATGTGTATTACTGTATTATGCACTTATGTGTATAAATATATATAATCGATAAACCATTGACATAAATAGTCAAATTTGCCTAAATAAGAAGGGGCAGAGGGAGTATGAAATACATCTCCATATCATAAAAGTTGACCAACTTTGATTTGCACGTAGAATAATAAAGTAAAAAATGTGAACTACATCTGAGTAGGAGAGAGATAGTATGAACTACAAATTTGTTA